CCGTAATTAAATACCTAAAACCCCTGAGCTTCCGGGCGCTCTGCCCCCTGGACCACACCAAGGGCCCTAAGACGGCCCCTGGATGCTCATCTAACCGTAATTAAATACCTAAAACCCCTGAGCTTCCGGGGGCTCAGCCCCTTGACCCCCTGCCGAGGCTCATGCCCTGGACCCCACGCCAATTTACGCTCTACCTGATCGATAATACTCCACTTTGAAAAACGTTCCGCGGGACCTGCATATAACGTGTAAGACTGGTGGTGATGCAGATTTTTCGTCTGCCCCCCCCCCCTTCCGAATTTTTTTCTCATTACGTCACTGCCCCTGGAAAGTGAGCCCCCTGGAATGTTTGCCCCCCCAATCCCAAACTGCTTCCGGCGCGCCTGATTGTAGGGTTGGGAAATATAGCTTATAAATTATAATGCCCGTCAAATGGGCAATGCGAAGGCAGTGTTTGAATCTTCTTCGTTGTAATCTTCTTACCGACCTACTAATGAACCCATCAACCAACATATGTATCAGACAACCATTCAGACCACCTATTCATCATCCTAATCAACAAACCATCACCCAAACTCAACAATCAACAAACCATCACCCAATCTCGACAATCAACCAACCGCTTAACCAACCAACTCAGCAGCCCACCGATCTTATCTTCATGATCACCAACTTAAAGAGCCAAACATGGGTATCGGGTGTGCAATCGTACTAATTAGTAGGTTTTTCTCAATTGTTGAATTAGAATTGTTTGACCTTCACCCCACTAAGTCGACCTGAAATCCCCAATATAGTACGGAGTATTTATCAGTCTTGTCAATGGTATGATACGTGTAAATATTCGAAACACACGCTCGACTGATGTGTCTATATTGTCGTTCACACGAACGTTAAAACAGTCACAAAACATGCATAGAGGTGAAGGAGGGAGAGAAAGACAGAGAACAAAAACAGAAAGACCGGGAAAGAGGACAGGCAGGCAGGCAGACAGACGGAGATAGAGAGAGAGAGAGAGAGAGAGAGAGAGAGAGAGAGAGAGGGGGGGGCGGGGCGGATACAATGTGTAATGAAAAAACGTTTGAAATATCATACATTTGTTTAAGATAAGGTTGGCATGGTTAGTGCTATTCTCTAAAAATTAAACATGGACATTTAGTATGGGCAATTATTAGGCAAAGTATGTAAGATACAGAATGAGAGGAAGGAGAGTATTACATTTAAAAAAAACGCAAAGAGAAGATTTTCGAATGTGATGACAGACCAGCTAAGAGACAATAGAACTTTTCGTATTTTACAAATTAGTTTGAAACATTTACAACGGCAATATTAATTTAACGTGAATGTCTCATCTGCGACCAGTAGCTTACAGACTTACAGACTCACAGATTATTATGAGCACGGTTTCAATAGCTCTCTTCTTTCTGTCTCGTGTGTGAAGGTTTTGTCGAGTTCATGTCTGAGAATGTTTACATCATAAATCTGAAATGCCTTTCAACGGGAATGTAAACAAACCATATTTAAAGCAGAGAGACTGTGGGCTCAAGATAACCCTTTCAAGATTCCAACTAGAATTTAGAGACATCTAGATACCTTCTCTCCCTCACCGTCTTCCTCTTCTTCCATTTCCTCTCTTTCTCTCTCCATGTCCCTTCTTTTTCTCTTTATCTCTCTCTCTCTCTCTCTCTCTCTCTTTCTCTCTCTCTCACTCTTTTTTTTTTATAATCATCGAAATTACTCAGAATTCCCTGCGAAAAATGATGAATAAGATGAGATTTCAATTCATTTCATTCCAATGCAGCTTGTTCTTGTGTTTGTTACGATCCTTCAAAGTTCACTCTGAAATAATGACGACCTAAATAATTTATCCTGTGGGTTATTTTCATCACTTTTTTACTTTATATCTGACCTGTCCTAATAGACAAATCAAGATAACAGAGGATAGGCGATGCTGATGGGGCTTAATTGGGCAAAGTAATGTCATTGATTTCCGTAAATGGACATTCATCAAAACTACATTCCGCTAATGTTGTTTATCTTTTAGTCCGAGAACGCCCATGCCGACAAAAGATTCCGACTGAGCCATCTCTATAACTATCCTCTTTCAGCATGCTCACTCCAATATGTTTTTTCTGTTGAATATCGCCATTTCCCTTTTTTCTTTTAAAGTTAATTTACCTGACAGTTCTTGTCGGCAGATTACACCCGTCCTCTCTCTCCTCTCTCTTTCTTTCTCTCTCTCTCTCTCTCTCTCTCTCTGTCTCTCTCTCTATTTCCCTTCCTCTGAATTTCAATCTGCATGTAGAATTATATATGTCGTATTGCTTTGTGGGTCCGTTTGTCAAACAAGCAGCTATGTTTGACAATACTTATTGCACACTATGATAAACACTCGTTGATCACATGTATTGTACTTTAATGAGTGTCTATGGAGACTCAATTCTGTAGAGGATACAATCTAGACCAGCCAGACGGTAATGTCATGATCTCGCATTTAAGCATTAATCTTATTCATAGAATAAATATTGAGTATGGCAGAGGTATTCCCTATCCACTCTTTCTGAGATGAACCCGATATGCCCTTCACAGACCATTTATTTCTTTTAGTACGGTATAGCAAGAAGTTTTTAATGGTAAAAACAAGGAAGTTCTTCTGTTTAAGACACTTTCGTTGATGTTAGCCCCCCCCCCCCCCCGCACAGAAAGTGTTCTCCTCTCTCTTTAGATAAAAACAAAAAGCTTGAAAATATTTTGAATTAAAAACAAATTCTTTATAGTATTCGCCAATAATGGTCAAAAACTGACTGACTTGCCTATATTAAATAACAACAACAACAACAACATATTTGGTCAAGGAATAAGGGTCTTTCTTACGCCCACTCCCCCTCTCCCCTCTCCTCCCCTCCTCGTCCTCATCATTATTCACATCATGTCAGGTAGAAGCAATTTCGTCACATCATTAGGGAAAGGGTTAATAACAGCATAATGTACCCCCAAACCCTTAACTATGGGTAAAAAGGATAATCCCTACGGAGGGGGGAGGGGGAGGGGGAGGGGGAGGGGGAGGGGGAGGGGGAGGGGGAGGGGGAGGGGGCGGGGCATAGTTAGAACGTGACCTATATAATCTATCTCATCATGAATGGAATATGTGTAATTTTGACAAATGAAAACAAAAGTCTGAGCTATTTTGCGCCATACGTAACCGAGAATATTCTATGAGTTCAGGATATCTGATGACATGCTTTATAGCCGTATTGTTATTCTCACTCACTCACTCTCTCTCTCTCTCGCTTTGCCCGCTCACGAAAAGACAATTGATCTGTTGGAAGATAATGCTCACATGTGAAACGTAATGCTTATACTCGTGAAATTTGTAATGTATAACAGGGGAGGGATTTTGGTACTCATTTCACCATCTTTTTTTAATCATTTACCCTTTTTCATTCGGAAAGGTTCCCTAAGGTTGGCTGCTGTATAATCGTTTAGCCGCATCGAATCTGTTTCATCTTATTTCTTTCATGACATGATGTTGTCAATGTTGTAATTTTTTATCAGGAAGGCAACTTCTATAAAGGCAACATGTCTCTCATCACTTTGATCCAGCATTATATCAACTTGACTTCTGAGGTTAATGCCATGTAATCTAATTCTACTGGTTTCGATTGAAAAAACCTTAAATCTTACCACGGCTTGACGTCTTTGCATGTTAAGTTTGGATAAATCACGACGATAATCACATTTCTACTTGTCTTTGTATGAGGAAAAGATGTTTGTCTCAATTTCAGAGCTTTTCTAACCCGAAACCAGCAATAAAACACCCCACCCCCTTCTCCTACGCTCTCAGCATTAAACCTTATACGATTCAGCTTGAAAACAGATGTGATTGTAGAAGGCATCAGCAAGCTATTACCAGATCTCATCAATCTCGTGCAACTTCTAGATCTAATTTAGCTGACAAGGCCAAGTTAATTTCAGAGCCATGAATCTCAGCTCACATCAGGTCTGTGGAAAGCGTAGTTTAATTTCACATGTTTGAATAAAAACCCACTTGCACACGTTTTAAAAACGTACAGATGAAGAAACGAAATTCAGTCAAGAACTCATCATTTGGCATGCAGTATTTTTTTCTTTACTATTAAAATCTTGACTGTTCATTGAAATCTAATCTCATTTGATAATGCATTTATTTTAAATTAATTTCTTACAACCACGGCCCTCATTCACCCCATGTTTACTGACAATGGAAATCACATTAACGCAAATAATTATGTCTATATTTTGCCCGCTCTATACGACAGTGTTTTTATTTGAGTTCTGCGTTGATCACTCTAAATGCCATAACCATCAAAACGATCACATACTTTGTATTGACCATGTTGACAGACACACTTACCAAAATAATCAGCGACTTATCATTATACTATTCAACTTCCAAGTATTACGTATCTTTATTTCCAATTATTATAATTTCATTACTTTTGCAAACTATATTGATGCTCACCCTCTAAAGGTAAATGATTTGCGAGTCAAAGTATACATTTTTTGTCGTTGTATTATGATATGGTTTATTATTAAAATAGTAAACTGAGCAGTAATAATTCTTGAGCAAATTAAGTTTACAATAAGAGTAAAAACGTCCATTTGAATAAAATACATAAAGTTAAGTCGACTAAATTAATAACGATAATATATAAATAACATTTAATAGTCCCATCAACAGGGAAATTAAAAGGACAAACTAGACAAAGTACATAAAGGAAAGAAGAGATTGAGAACTGGAAATAAATTATGTAGAACAAATATTGCACATGGATTAGTACAAAAATATGAAGATTCAGACTGGAACAAAAATTTGACACGTTTCAAATCCTCGGCTCTGGGTTATTGATGTTCATTCTTTATTTGAATGTTAAATACTTTACAATAAATATGTATTAGTAAATGGTATAGGCAATACGTCCTAAATAATAATTAGTGTTTTGTCTTTTGTTATCGTTTTACAGAGTGGAGAGAGGACTCATGTTGGTCTATTGCTTCAGCCGTGGGCTAGTAATGAGCATTCCATGGACGCTGAGGCAAAGCGATTCTTCAAATACATTACTACAATTCAGGTACGTCTACCCCCCCCCCCCCCCCCCCTCTCTCCAACTCTCTCCCATCATCAATAACATTTTCAATAACTTAATCTACTTTACAATGATATGTTAAAATAACATATCATTGTAAAGTAGATTAATAATACAGTCTCTAATAATTAGAGACTGTATTATTAAAGATGAGGAAAGAAACCGAAAAAGAGAGAAAAGAATGGGAGAGACAGGGAGAGAGAGAGATACTAACCAATGGACAGGGAATGAAAGAAGGACAGAGAGGCAGAGAGAGAGAGAGAGAGAGATACTAACCAATGGAAAGGGAATGAATGAAGGACAGAGAGGCATAGAGGGTGTGAGAGAGAGAGAGAGAGAGAGAGAGATACTAACCAATGGAAAGGGAATGAAAGAAGGACAGAGAGGCATAGAGGGTGAGAGAGAGAGAGAGAGAGAGAGAGAGAGAGAGAGAGATACTAACCAATGGAAAGGGAATGAAAGAAGGACAGAGAGGCATAGAGGGTGAGAGAGAGAGAGAGAGAGAGAGAGAGAGATACTAACTAATGGAAAGGGAATGAATGAAGGACAGAGAGGCATAGAGGGTGAGAGAGAGAGAGAGAGAGAGAGAGAGAGAGAGATACTAACTAATGGAAAGGGAATGAATGAAGGACAGAGAGGCATAGAGGGTGAGAGAGAGAGAGAGAGAGAGAGACAGGGAGAGAGAGAGATACTAACCAATGGAAAGGGAATGAAAGAAGGACAGAGAGGCATAGAGGGTGAGAGAGAGAGAGACAGGGAGAGAGAGAGATACTAACCAATGGAAAGGGAATGAAAGAAGGACAGAGAGGCATAGAGGGTGAGAGAGAGAGAGAGAGAGAGAGAGAGAGATACTAACTAATGGAAAGGGAATGAATGAAGGACAGAGAGGCATAGAGGGTGAGAGAGAGAGAGAGAGAGAGAGACAGGGAGAGAGAGAGATACTAACCAATGGAAAGGGAATGAAAGAAGGACAGAGAGGCATAGAGGGTGAGAGAGAGAGAGAGAGAGAGAGAGAGAGATACTAACTAATGGAAAGGGAATGAATGAAGGATAGAGAGGCATAGAGGGTGAGAGAGAGAGAGAGAGAGAGAGAGAGACAGGGAGAGAGAGAGATACTAACCAATGGAAAGGGAATGAAAGAAGGACAGAGAGGCATAGAGGGTGAGAGAGAGAGAGAGAGAGAGAGAGAGAGAGAGAGAGAGAGAGATACTAACCAATGGAAAGGGAATGAAAGAAGGACAGAGAGGCATAGAGGGTGAGAGAGAGAGAGAGAGAGAGAGAGAGAGAGAGAGAGAGAGAGATACTAACTAATGGAAAGGGAATGAATGAAGGACAGAGAGGCATAGAGGGTGAGAGAGAGAGAGAGAGAGAGAGAGAGAGATATACTAACCAATGGAAAGGGAATGAAAGAAGGACAGAGAGGCATAGAGGGTGAGAGAGAGAGAGAGAGAGAGAGAGATACTAACCAATGGAAAGGGAATGAAAGAAGGACAGAGAGGCATAGAGGGTGAGAGAAAGAGAGAGAGAGAGAGAGAGAGAGATACTAACTAATGGAAAGGGAATGAATGAAGGACAGAGAGGCATAGAGGGTGAGAGAGAGAGAGAGAGAGAGAGAGAGAGAGAGGGAGAGAGAGAGATACTAACCAATGGAAAGGGAATGAAAGAAGGACAGAGAGGCATAGAGGGTGAGAGAGAGAGAGAGAGAGAGAGAGAGAGATACTAACTAATGGAAAGGGAATGAATGAAGGACAGAGAGGCATAGAGGGTGAGAGAGAGAGAGAGAGAGAGAGAGAGAGAGAGAGATACTAACCAAATGGAAAGGGAATGAAAGAAGGACAGAGAGGCATAGAGGGTGAGAGAGAGAGAGAGAGAGAGAGAGAGAGATACTAACCAATGGAAAGGGAATGAAAGAAGGACAGAGAGGCATAGAGGGTGAGAGAGAGAGAGAGAGAGAGAGAGAGAGAGAGATACTAACCAATGGAAAAGGAATGAAAGAAGGACAGAGAGGCATAGAGGGTGAGAGAGAGAGCGAGAGAGAGAGAGAGATACTAACCAATGGAAAGGGAATGAAAGAAGGACAGAGAGGCATAGAGGGTGAGAGAGAGAGCGAGAGAGAGAGATACTAACCAATGGAAAGGGAATGAAAGAAGGACAGAGAGGCATAGAGGGTGAGAGAGAGAGAGAGAGAGAGAGAGAGATACTAACCAATGGAAAGGGAATGAAAGAAGGACAGAGAGGCATAGAGGGAGAGAGAGAGAGAGATACTAACCAATGGAAAGGGAATGAAAGAAGGACAGAGAGGCATAGAGGGTGAGAGAGAGAGAGAGAGAGAGAGATACTAACCAATGGAAAGGGAATGAAAGAAGGACAGAGAGGCATAGAGGGAGAGAGAGAGAGAGAGAGAGAGAGATACTAACCAATGGAAAGGGAATGAAAGAAGGACAGAGAGGCATAGAGGGTGAGAGAGAGAGAGAAAAAGAGAGAGAGAGAGAGAGAGAAAAAGAGAAAAAGAGAGAGAGAAAGAGATGGAAGATGTGAGATATAAGTGGCGGTTCTATAAGGTGACGTGCCTATAACCCCGGGCAAAAAAAAAAGATGGAGGGAAAGGAGACGGAAGAAAAAAATATGGACTGATTATTTTATTTTTGTGTTTGCTTGCTTTGCTCGTCACAACATTTTATGATCCCCCCTCCTAGTTAGAGTATCCTGGATCCGCCACAATGTTCAAGACGCACCAGCACGACATTCGCCCAATATTGATTTGGGTTTAACATATAAAACACATCACAGATTTCCATCGGAGTTATCTCTGGTATATATATATAGAACCAAATACAAGCACGAAACGAGTTGACACTAAACCAATTCTTGTCCTGTATCTACTACTTGACAGGTGCAATGTCGGGAGCAACATGCTGTAGGGCGGAGCAATCCGAGTGGAACCGGTCTAGACTGGCCTTGGATGGTCTGCTTCGATGAAGGTTCATCATACGTGGGAAGAGGAGCTTTAAGACCCGGATGTGTGGTTTACTCATTCGGGTAAGAAACATTTTTTAATTTTTTTAAATAAACGATTATGACTATATTTATCAACACAGTTTTTTTTCTGCAGCGACTGTCATGAAAGCTGCTTTTGAAATTCTGTTCCAAGGAAATTAACAAACAGCAGAAAGACACTTGATATCTCCCTACACCTGACATGCTATTAAAATATAACAACAAACATCATTAAGAAGATAAATGAGAATGGGCACATAGTCAACAAATACAGTGATACCGACGTGAATGCTTTCGACCTAGTTTGCTACATATTTTAACCGTTGATTTTCCTTTTCTTGTCTGTTTTTTGTGCAATCTTTTAGCGCTCGTTCATCGAACATTCGTTTCGAGATTGAGATGGCTGAAAGAGGATGTGAGGTGCATATATTTGATCCTAGTGGCCGCATGAGGGCGCATATCTTATCTGAGAGTAAGCAACATCGAGTAAGCAACGACGCATTGCCTGAGAACATTGTTATTCACAAAACAACACTTGATTGGCGGGATTCAAACGTTGGAAACCAACGCACTTCGTCGTCATGGAAACCAAGCAAACTCTCTGCTATCATGACCAAACTAGGGCATGATACGGTAAGTAAACATGATTCAGAAGGACAGCTTAAATTAGAGTCTCAACTAAAAACACTAGTGTCAAAATTTGCCCTAATACCTTCGACCATACATGTATCTCTGTCCGAATCTCTGTTTGCTCAGTCAAATTATGTGGTGATAAGATCGTCTGAACTGAAACAAATAGTGTTTGAGTTCTTTCTATTTACAACACAAGTTTGCTCATCGCACTGGGGTAGAAATTTCTTTAGCGTGGAAACAAAAACGCCTTTCATTTAATGGGTTATGGTTTCTCAACCGACCAGTCATCTTTGATATTGCCTTTCATGTCAACGAGATAGCGCCAGCTATCGAGGGATATTGACATTAGCTAAACTCTCTAACTTTTTAGCAGAACTTTTGAGATAAAACCCTGATCATTATTATCGCTGCGTTAGGAGAAGTAGAAGTAGAAAAAAAAGTAGTAGCAGTAGTAGTAAAAATAGTAGTATAGTTTAAGTACATACTAGTCAGTGGCTGATCCAGGGGGGAGGGCCCGGGGGGCCCGCGAAAAAACACTTTAATTTTACCTTTTTTTTTGGAGATGGGCCCCCTCCCCTTCCGCTCAAGGGGAGGGGGGGGGGCGATTTTTCAAATTTCCGAGGGCCAAAAAAAATAAAATAGTGCTCATCCCCCCTCCTGTCACTAAGAGCGAATTATCGGCCGGCGCGATTTTCAAATTTTCGGGAGCAAAAAAAATAGTGCTCACTAACCCACCCCCCCCCCCCCCCACACTGAGCGAATTATCAGCCGGCTATTTCGCCGCTAAATATATTCTCACAAATTGGGCCCCCTCCGCTGCCGCCGGCGGGTGGGGGTGGGGGGTAAGGAGGATTTATTTCTTTTTGAGAAAACATGATGAGGGGGGGGGGGGGGGGTTAAACACCGCCCCTGCGTACGCGCCTGACTACTACTAATGTTACTACTACTCAGGGGCGGCAATTTCTTTTCATGACCGGCGGGGGGGAGGATGAAATGCGAGGATTTTTTTTTATTCCGTTGGTAAAACCAGTGGGTAATGAGCAAAAAACGTTGTTTTTTTGGGGGGGGGGCGGAGGGGGAGGGGGAGGCAGAAAAAAATCCTTGTCCCCACCACTCTTACGTGTTACATGCAGGTCCCGTGAAAAGTGGGAGGGGGGGGGGCTAAAGCATATACGATCAGGTAGAGTGTAGAATAAATTGGCTTGGGCTCTAGGGACAAAGCCAGGGCGGGGATCAAGGGCGGGGCCCCCGGAAGCTTAGGGGTTTTAGTCATTTAATTACGTTCAGAGGAGCATATTTTGACACCGTATTAGTGAAACTGGCAGGTCATTAATTTTGGGGTTCAGGGGACTGAGCCCCCAATATTTCAGGGGTTTAGGCATTAAATTATGGTCAGATGAGCATCCCGTCATAATTGCCCCTGGAGGGGTCAAGTGGCAAAGCTTCCGCAAGCTCAGATGTTTTAGGCCTTTAAATTAAGGTCGGATGAGCATATTTTTATTCCTTATTTGTGACACTGGCAGGCCACTATTCTTTCTTTCTTTCTATTTATCTTTGACATATTTTTTCAAAAAAGTGTGGGGGGGGGGGGGCTCGAGCCCCCGAGCCCTGCCGTTCCATGGGCCCTGACATGTAGGCTTCTTAATAAGCATATGTTTTGCCTGACTGTACATTTTTCATTGTCCAACAAACGCAACCCCCCCCCCCCATCAGTATGCTAGTTGGTATCACGGTGATACCAACGGAATACAGATTTTTTACTATATTTACTTGTACATTCTAAAGGATAGGGAGCGTAGCGACGAAGCTACAAGATTTTTGCATTTTTATTAGTCTAAACGCTGCACTCAAGGCCCTCCAGAGCCTAAAAGTGTGTTGCATTCTTTAGTCAGTATTCGCTAAACATTTTCTTTAAGCACTTTTTCAAATTTCAGGGGGGGGGGGGACGACGACCCCCCTCCCTACAAAAATTGAGGGGGGAACGTGTCCCCTGTCCCCCCGGATCACCGCCCCTGCTACTACTAGTACTACTACCGCTACTACTACTACTTACGCCACTTTTATCATTTGACAACCTGAAATTAAAACTACCGACTCACATGTGGGAATTAAAAAAAAATATTCTTATCCTCTTTATCGTCCATTTCAAATTCACAGTACATATATCTACAGTACAAGTCAAACAGAATTATTAGCAATTTATTTGTTAGATCAGAATAATTATTGAAAATCATTTCACTACATTTATCACTTTTTAAACTTCTTCATTATCAAAGTCTCTTTGTGTTCCGAATGATGTAGTTCAGTTACTTATTGACCTGTTCATATGTTTTCTCTAAGCAAAAAATAAGTTTTGATTCTAATAACGATTTTTTTTTCTTCCTTCATTTTTGTATAAATGATATCTATAAAAAAAAACAGAATTGATTCTGTTCATTGTATATTTCAAGAACGATTGTATCAGTATCGCACTGTCTATCTGATTGGTTATTATTGTTATTGTTTTCAGATCGATATTGTTCGTGCTGATCTTCAGAGTGCTGAATGGAAAGTATTAGAAAACATTTTACTTGACGGGACTGTATCCCGGATTCATCAACTCATCTTTAATATTCATCTCAACTGGAGTGGGTTTGAGGTTCAAGGAGCCAATCATGACGTCATTCGTTTCTGGTACAGTGTTCTGAAGAAACTAGAGAGGGCGCGCTATCAATTATTTCACAGTTTAGAAGACAAATCTGAACCCTCAATCTTCTTGGGCCAAACTATGCCCAACATTAGTAGTACTTATACCTTAGGATGGGTCAACACTTCGTGGAGGTGATACAAACTAACACTACATGTTTAGATACCCCGCCTCATTCCATAAAGAGTTACATTGTTGTTATTTGATGTGTTGTTTGTTTGTTTATCCGATTTTGTAAAGCAGCCAAAAGAAGAAAAAACGGTTGTCATGTTGCTTTATTTATGTTGCTTAACTCACTACTTTAATGTACTATCATGGTTTTGGCTCTTTAAACAGATGAGCAATAATTTATGATGTAGGATATGAAAAAAATGTTATGTTTGCATACTATGGCAAATCAACGCACAGCTGTTGTGTGTATGAATTAAAATACATTGTGGGATTGCCAGAGATATGAAGTATATAGTCAGAACGACGCTATCTCTTTGAACTTTAGTTTCTTTTAGATGTTTTAATATATAAGGAAATCCTAGACGGAATATAAAATGTATATCTGGAGTAATTGTCTTTCTATACACGTAGAGAATATTGCTTGATGTCTTCTCATTGTTTTAGCTGGTTAATGATGTGTATAGTATTGCGATGATAGGATTCTGTGTGGTATATGTATCAATTAGGAGACGGTGATCATAATTTGACGAAAAAGAACTATTTCATCCTCTCAATTATACCTCCAAATCATTTTGAAATCATACTTAATAGTGAGTCAAGCCTCGGTCACAAATGCCATTACGAACTGCTACGAACGCCGTACGAACGATTTTCAAACAATGGAAATTCGGGAAGACAATGGAAAAACAGGGAGATTCGTACGAAATTATCGTTCGTACGAACCTTTGTGACCGTAGCATTAGGTTTTAATGTGTTTATACAGTTTGGAGAAAAATGTAAGTCAGATCAGCACAAAGATTATATCATAACTCCATATCGAAAATACCTTTTCGAAGATACTTATGTCGAATATTTTTCAACGTTTTAAAGTATTATGTGACATTGTATACTCCTTGTGACAGTTTCGTCAGTCTGTTCTTAAAATGAGATGTAAGTATGCTGCCTATTTATAGTGCTGCCTATTTTAGTACACTGCAATCTTTACTCTTTGATGGGGTTATCGTAGACATGCTCCTTCAGTTGGAAGGTTCGAGATGATATACGCAATCTAATTAATTTGTAATTCAAATGAACTTACCCTTAAAAATCTATCTTTCTTCTTGGTTTTTCCTCCATTGTTTTACTTTGGTGATGCAATCACTCCAAAGATGTGAGATTAAAATGGTTGTTCATCCAAAATGAAGAAACCATAGCTGTAGTAACTGCTGCTGAAACTGTAGTTAAAGCCTGACTGCAATGACCACCATAACGAAAGTGTTGCTCTATCTAGTAGCACCTTAACTTTCCTTAGTAGGTACTGGTAGAGTGGTATCCCACCCATCGTGGCATGAAAGTTTGACAGAAGACTTGTTATCCTAGCCGCAACACCATCTAAAATCAAACGTTAACCCAAGATATAAATAGTCTATGGAATAATACAAAATTATTCATCATCTACTTAATAGCTTATGACGGGAATTATAATCATCATCAGTCAATACAATGAAATACATAACAGAAAAGAAGACATCTGTCATAATGAACTACATTGCAGACAAATATCCTTCAAAAATTCGAAAGAGCCTGATTCCTGAGCTCATATTCTGCTAACATGTACTTTCCTTTATCATTCATAAATGAACAAAATAGTGTATAAATTAAGAGTGATATTAATTACTTTAGAGATATGATTCACAGTTTTCATTCTTTATCTCTAATGCAGAGGTTCACTTGTGACCTTGACTCTCTCAATGACAAATAAAAACGTGTAATTTATCATCAGGAAAAATAATACAAATATGAATTCAACTTACAGTCTGACTTAGTTGACTAAATGCAGGCCTCAATGTCGGTTCTGGTGATCTTGATACTCCATGGAACTTAGACTTGCAGCGCAAAATGCCATGTTTTTCAACTATGAAACTTCAACTTGTATTCACCTCCAACCCATAGGTCCTGCATGTATGGCTTCTGTGCAGAGTGACACTAAACTGCTACGTAAGGCAACCCAACCACTACAGATATGCATCACTTGTTTGAGCTATGTAGAGTGCTCAGTGCAGTGGAGTCTAACTACCCAATGCATTCAGCCAAATTATTTAATGTAGGCCCTAACAATAAGCGGGTAGAATTGAGGGAAAGGTTGAACCCTAACAACCTAATTATGTGTATAATGGATACAAACATAACACATCATGAGATTATGTCACCAGACGTATACCAATTCCATTCACAATCATTAATAATGCGCCTTGAACCGTCTCCTTGTGTTACCACATTCCTCAGACAACAGTATTCGTTATCATAATCAATCAGTGGCGTACGCAGGATTTTTTCAAGGGGAGGGTTTTCAAATCGGGCCCAAAATTTCGCAACGACTCAGCCAGCCGCTGAATAAGCTGAGTAAGAGGACACTTTTTTTTTTGGGGGGGGGGTCACCTTTTTAAGGTCACCTATTGGCAATTTTTTTATTTTTATTATTATTATTTTTTTTAAATTTATTAAAAAAAAAAAAAAAAAAATTCAAAAGGGGAGGGTTTTCCAAAATAATATACAAAAAACATACACATAAAAAAACTCGAGGGGGGGGGGGGGGGGGGTTTAACCCCAAAACCACCCCCCTGCGTACGCGCCTGTAATAAATCATACACACATTGGTATTTTACAGAAAGATGTGGTGATCATATTTCGTAAAGAAACATTCACGTTGAATTTTATTCATCATTAAATGAATCAAAACAAAAACCCAGCCTGTTAATTCATTTAGGAAGCTATTTTCAAGAAATCACTTTTTACAGTAATTTTCAAAGTAATGCAGGTCATCTTCCCGAAAGCTGAAAGTGCATGGCTTCAAACTAAACAAATTGCGCTCTATTATTTAGATATCATATATCATATATATCCTGAAATAATTAGACCGTCGAATCGATGACTATTTTAGTCCAGTATAAGCTAAACAGCGAACAAGGGTTTGCATTTTTGGGTACTTTAGTTTACTATATATATTATTGTTTTGGATGATCATCAATAATTAATAATGTTTTTCTTTATTCTACATTTAATAATGTGTGCAATATAATAGGAAGTAAAATGATGAAAGTCTTGTTTTATATTTTTGATCTTAATTTGCATTCTTGAGAAGTACCTTGACTGTTTTTTTTTCTCTCTGTAGTACTATGTCTATGTTGTTTTCATTTTCTAAAGCAAATATCTCTGAAAATGCTCTGATTGTACTGTATATTGCCAGAAGCTGGATTGTGTGTATTGTATAATACAGTAATAAACATTTTTATGGCATTCTTTTAATACAGAAAAAGATGTTCGTTAATTTGACGTGTTACTTTGTCTGTTTGTAAACATAATGTGCCTACAATGCAAAAATGAAGAACACCATAGACTATTAAATCAGAATGACTATGTTTATCTGAGGTACACACCCTCCACGCATCTTCTAAAACAGACTCATCATACTGTCATATCATCATACTGTAATTAATTTTACTGGTCACAGCCAGAAGTCTCTCTCTCTCTCTCTCTCTCTCTCTCTCTCTCTCTCTCTCCCTATCTTTCTCTGTCTCTGCACGTTCAGGGCAGACCGCCATGCAGTGTGTTCGTCCAAGAGGCCCTTTGTAATAGCACTGCGGCCGATAAACTCCTCCTTAGAACCATTCTCCAAGGCAAACAATACGTCATTCTTTCGTTCCTTCGAAACATTTTAAAGGCGAACAAGTCATGTAACTACGATGTTTTCTTTGGAGACATGGTTTCAATGTGTTTCACGTTCCTCGGTAAGAGAACCTATCGCTCCAACTCGCACTCCATTCTCCTGGCAGCTTTCGCGATCTCTCGCTGTATCCCAAGCCACAACAACTCTACGCCTGGCGAACGATACGCACGATGCATGCAGTCCGGATATACATGCTATCAGATGTTCCATTTCACATACGCCTCTTGTGACTTCACCATATTAATTTTCTAACCTTAAATATCATACTTTCGCTCTTTTTCTGTGTTCAGGCGAACATTAAATCGTTTTCTCACTGATTTGCGTCTCATTCTCTTCAATTAATCTCGCATTATGATGAAATTAAATCCATGATACAAGCCTGGGTTAAGATTCATATCTATAGACGCATGCATGCATGAACGGATATATTGACAAATGAGTGATTATATGTCATTCTTTTCTCTTTAAATATGTACAAAGCATGAGTGAAGGCTTAGATGCAATGAACTCTAATAAGTCCACATTAATGACACACAAAGACTCTCTCTCTCTCTCTCTCTCACACACACATATACACACACGCGCATTCTCACATCAGGGCCTTTGTGGGGCACCTGATTGTGGGGTATTTCTGTGCGTTCCAGATATACCTTGTGGTCCCCTACTAGTGGGGTATGTACAACCTGGCGATAACAACCCGGCGGTGTGCTTACGATGTTACCATAAAAAAGTGTGCAAGTTTTAGCACACGCTCACAAAAAGTCATTTATGGGGTACCACTTCTAATGCCCCGCAGGGCATAGGACACCGAATATACAGTCATTTGAAAGACTTTACTCTGTGGGGTCCTGAAAAAATACCCCACAAAGTAAAAATGCCTCACAAGGGGTATGTGAAGCGCACATAAAACCCCACAAGAATGCTGAGGTGAGAGCATACACGCGCACACACACACCCTTCCTCACGCACAAACACACATATACTAATTAAGCCCTTGATTTCACGGCAGCGGTTCTAGTTCTATATAGGGACTGCTTTAATGTTAGCAACCATCTTTTTGTCAAAGAAATTATTAATGCAAAAATGAAATTTAAAAAAAGTTTTTTTTTCGCTCATCAGAGATACTTGGATCATCCCGGCCAGGGAATCCTGGATCAATCACTACCACCCTAATCATTTACAAATCTCTCTCTAAAATCATTCTGATCAACATTACTAACCAAATGTCTCAAATAATAAGTTGGCATAGCAGTACTAGTTATATTAGGCAACGGAAGAGAGAGTTTAACCGAGAGAGAGAGGGGAAAGGAGAGAAGGATGAGAGAGACAGACAGAGAGAAAGAGGATTTGAGAGAGAAAGCGAGAGAAAGAAAGAGAGAGAGAATGGGAGAGAGAGAGAGAGAGAGAGATGCAGACACATGGTAGATGGCGACTCAAACCTTAAAAATCATCTTCTTTTTGTTTAAGGTGAGATGAATAGCAAGGTTTTCTCGGCCTCATCAGCTGAATGTATAAAGCATATTCTAGTTCTCTTACCGTAGTCGCAATATGGTCGTTATTAATAATCAAACAGATCCTAATGCATTTTTCATCCTGAAAAAAGGGTCCAAATTGGTTTGGTTAAAAAAATATCGAACACGCATTTACCATATTATATCCATACGGAATCAAGGACTGCATTAAAACACGATACATGATATGATCGAATAGACAATGTCTTTTCCCCTTATGTATTGAATATGAATGATGTGTTAGAGGTTCTCGGAATGAAAGGATATAACACTCTTCGACACAATTTATGTATTTGAAATATGTAGAAGTATGAATTAAGGTCTCCTCTCGTCAATTCAAATCTTTCCAGAGTGTAAACCTGCTTAATATAAAAGGAATCTCAGCATCTTTGCTAAACTATCGATATTCTCTCTCTCTCTCTCTCTCTCTCTCTCTCTCTCTCTCTCTATCTCTTTCTCTCTCTCTCGTTTCTATCCTGTCATAATTTCTTCTTTCTCTTCTTTTTATTTATCATTAAAAAAAAAAAATCTTGAATTTATTTTCTTCTTACAGCTTTCAAACTGTCCCTTGTATTTTATTGCACAACTCACTTTCCACGAGCTCACTCCACTCTTAACATAGCGTATTGATCACTCATTTTCATGGAAGTGTTATATCGTTTATTGCTCCTTGTTTATACAACGAACATCATCAACATGCTTCATAGATAAAAATAGATTAAGCAATATACGGTTGACATAGTAGAAATATACAAATGTTTAGAATTAAGCATCAAAGTTAGCAAGATTTGTCTTCAAAAACAATATAATAGTGACTAATAAGTCATAGTATCTCATTGCACATAAAACAGTTACTGCTCAAAGGTAATTACTCATATTGTTTTACTGGAAAGTAATTCTTTATAGTGTTTATTCACTACAGGTGACAACAGTTTAGTAGATATTAAGCAAAATAAAGTCCCAAAGTATAAAATATATATAACAGTATCAACTTAGTAATTCGCACGTTTTACTGACTGAATCATTTAAGACAGTTGTACCATTTCACGATTAACATTTCTATTACAAAACTTGTATCATCAAAGTATTAAACTGAGTTAGCCATTAATTCATCACGTCTTTATAACCCCTTTTCATCCATTACAAATGTGAATGTTAAGCAATTATTGTAATAGAAGCAGGAAGAAAGGCGTGATAATGATACCATCAGGTGAGGAGGATGATGGTGATGGTGATGGTGATGGTGATGGTGATGATTAATGATTATAAATGCTAGAGCGCCATAATGGCAGCCATGCTAAAGCCAGGGTATATTATTGTGGAGCGCATGAGTGTCAAGTTTGACAGACATGAGCACTATACAAGGCCCCACTATATATCATTATTATATTTCATTTATTGAAGAAATTCTAAACATATTTTGTTTCAGGAATTTCTCACAATGGTTAATGATACTTCAATGTTTTCTGTAACTTGATTGAGTTATATACTTTTGTTTTCATTGGCCGAATCATTTTGTTAATTGTGCTGAACTGATTATGACATGATTAAGATTTGTAAGTTTTAAATATGCCTTCCAATTTTTTATAATAAAATGATTGCCATAAGTACATCTGTTGTCCATTTCTTACAATACAACTATGTATCCTAGATGATATGATTGATTTTATTATCATGATTTGTCTTTTTTAAGCTGTATAGATTTGTCAGAAAAGTATTTCTTGATCCTTCTATTTTAAAGCTCTCTTTATTAGACTCCTTTAACATTGCGTGGATTCTGAATATTGAATACTGAGTGGATTGTGTTAGGACACACAGTGATTCGAGGTAAAGCTTTAAAAGATTCGAACATTAACGCCTTGAATTGACATGTTAAACACACAAGTCAACAAAATTTACGAAATAATATTTTCCTTGATACATAAATAAAATAAAATGCTGAATAGTTACTGATGACATTTCCCCAGGGAAATCCGATTTGCAGATTAGTACACGTATGGACTAGTTGAATGTTCAGATTAGTACACGTATGGACTGGTTGAATGTTCAGATTAGTACACGTATGGACTAGTTGAATGTTCAGATTAGTACACGTATGGACTGGTTGAATGTTCAGATTAGTACACGTATGGACTGGTTGAATGTTCAGATTAGTACACGTATGGACTGGTTGAATGTTCAGATTAGTATACGTATGGACTATTTGAATGTTCAGATTAGTATACGTATGGACTGGTTGAATGTTCAGATTAGTATACGTATGGACTGGTTGAATGTTCAGATTAGTATACATATGGACTGGTTGAATGTTCAGCTTCGGTTTTGTACATCAATACAAGGATTGACGATGTCTTCAAAATTAGGTGGTTTAATAGCATCCGGGCTGTTAGATGACGTCATATCAGCATCTTGGTCTTCATCATTTTCATCTGGTACAGGAGTTGTTTGATTGTTGACGTCATCTCCTGGTTCTTCTGATTCTTTCTCTCTCTTCTTCGCTTCATCAGGATGTCTAGATCTGATATGTCTATCAAGATCACGTCGTCTTACAAGAACCTTTCCACAGTACTCGCATCGATACGGTGTGTCTCCCTCAGCATGTAATCGGATGTGTTTGTTGAGGTTACTTGGATCACCGAATGGTCGCAGGCAGACTTTACACTTGAGTGGTTTGTATCCTGTATGAGTCCGAAGATGAATCTTAAGACCGTATTTCCTCGAATAGAGCTTGCCACAATAGATGCACAAATGTCCACGTTTATTCTTTCGAGTAGAGTCCTGCAGGTAGGAATACTGTGTTTCACCGACTTGAAACGAAGATGACGCTCCGGCTAAATGATTGCGATCAAGTCCAGCAAATTTAGGTATGTCTATGTCATTGGGTGAAGGGATGGGATGTGTCGGGTGAACGAATTTAAGGGGTGTTGGAATGGGAACCTTGTAAGGGAAAAAAGGATGAGCAGCACTATTGTAGAGACTGCGGTGATGAGCAGGTGGAAGGATGCCTCCGTATCTAGCAATGGTGGGTATGACCGGCTGGAAGCAGCGAATAGGTAAATATGGGTCAATTGGCCGGTACTGACCGATGCCAGTAGGTATGGAGAGTTGAGATCGGAAAGCTAGGGGATCGAATGGATTCGCGTTTTTATCAAGTCCTGTAGGTGAGTTTGAAACTTGACTGCTTGTACTCTGTGATTCGGTATGGTTCAACATCTTGTCGACTGAAAACAGGACATTGGAGCCCTTTCTACTGGTATCTGAAGAACTCATGTTGATGTCCAGCATACGAGTGGAAGATGGAGAACTGGTCTTACGGAATGCGCGAAAGCCCACCTTAGGACTCGTTCTAGGAGAGTTGGACTTGTGAGAAGTGTTTCGGTTCTTTGTCACGAGTGTGCTGCTACCATCGGTTCCCTCTGTTGGAAGAACTTCCGGTCGACGTGACCCGTTGGTGACGCTGTCGCTTAGAGTTGAGGTGGTTGTGAATGATGATGAAGAGGTGATCGAGCGGGGTGTTACACGTCTAAAGGCACTTCCAAACCTGGTTGAATCTTCTAAGTGATCTGGTCGAACATCAGGACGTAGAATGCTTGTCCTTTTAGCCGATGTGCCACATGATCTGAGATGAGATTTCAAGGTGTTTGGGTAACGGAACTTGGTAGAGCATACAGGACATACGAATGACCGGTCTTCAGCTGCAACGATAACAAATGAAACATTTTGATGAATACTAAAGGTTTTGAGTATGTTTCAAATAATTATTATGGCTATGAAATAAATACAGGGGGTTCCCAAAGGATTCCAGAAATCACAGGAAAAAGAGTGAAGCCAGCATTGCCAGGAAGAAGAATTTCCCGGCATTGCTTTGCTTTAATTATGAGTTGGAAACGATAATGATTAAATAATAATAATTATAAGCATTATCTATTGCGCAGTCTATCAAGAAAATCTATTCGGACGCGAACTAATTATTACCCCGGCTTTAGCCTAGCTGCCATTACAGCGCTCCAGCATTTCAAGGAATTAATTCCTGCCGGGTAGCGACTTTGCGTTTTACACCCTGGCCTGGACATTTTCCCGGTAAATAGCAATGAAACTGCTTGAATGAGTCTAGTCTACGCTCCTCGATCGGGCGCGCCAGTTCCAAATCGAATCGTACATGCACAGACGTACGTCGATGCAGCATTTATACACACCGTACGCAGCTGCAATACTGAAGATTATTAAGGGAGAAGATATAGGATTTCAAGTTCAGAACAACAAGTTAAGAAGCTTGCTGCACGATGGAATTCATCGAGGATGATGACGGAGTGGCAATGCAGACGCCTTTGCGGGTATGAATACTGTAAATCCAGTTTTGAATTGTAGTTATATGAGTACGATTAACTGTAACTGTTAGGCATCCATCGGTGCACGCCTCTGCGCCCATGAATCCGCCTATGTTCAGATCTCTTTTATCTACATGTGCATGTATTTTCAAATAAAAATTTCTTATAGTCATTTCTTGCATCTAAATCTTAACACACTGTCAAATTATCTGTTCAAATTTCTACTATTGTTTGCTTTCACTTTTACTACATATTTCTTCTTTATATAATATTTATGCATACACATACTCCTGTATCTTTTGTATTACTTCTCTGACATTGAAGGATTAGATTACCTTCACGAAAAAAAAAAAGTATATGAATGTAAAGCAGTAAATAAAGTGCAAATGAATTCATGTAAAACTGGTGTATAATTTCCTTTATATGTTATGTGTCTGTACATTACACTAGACAAAGTGATGAATGGAAAAAGAGAGAAAGAGAGGTCTTATAAACAAATATCATGAATTTAAAATGAGAAAGAGAGAAAGGGAGAGAGAGACAGAGGTCTTAGAAACAAATATGAATTCAAGAAGTGAGAAAGAGAGGGGGTCTTAGAAACAAATATCATGAATTGAGAGCTAGAGAGAGAGAGGTCTTAGAAACAAATATCAAGAAATGAGAAAGAGAGGGGGGGGGTCTTAGAAACAAATATGAAGAGAGAGAGAGAGGCCTTAGAAACAAATATGAAGAGGGGGTTAATGAGAGAGAAAGAAAGAGGGGTCTGAGAAATACATACGAGAGAGAGAGTGGGTCGAGAGAGAGAGGTCTTAGAAAACAAATATGAATAGAGATGGGGGGGGGGGGGGGCGGGGGAGAAATGGGTCTTAGAAAACAAATATGAAGAGAGATGAGGGGGGGGGGAGGTCTTAGAAAACAAATATGAAGGGAGAGGGGTCAAGAGAATTAGAGAAATTAGGTCTTAGAAACAAATGACATGAATTTAAAAAATGAAAGACGTGATCCCACAATAATAGAAAATGGTACGAGTGCAATATTTAAATCACAGTTTATGTATTACATTACCATTACACATATTATGTCGAGTGTAGTCTGTGTATGTGTCGATATGTGTACACGTGTGTTGGGGGGGGGGGTCCGAATCAGCAAATGGTTTGAAAGTAGGCTACACGTCAAAAATTGAAACCCTGAAGAAGGCGGAATTAAACCACAAAAACCATAATATTATTTGGTTTCTCTCTTTCCTTACTTTGATTAATTCCTTCTCTAATTTCTCTCTTTCTTTCAAGTTAGTTTTTGTTTTCTCTCTCTGCTTATGACATTCTTTGTTTCCTCTCTGTTCATTAATTATTTATTGTTTTTCTCTATTTCCTTCTGTTGTTATTCGTTGTTTTTCTCTCACTCGTACGTCTCGATACAAAAGTACATGTACCGCGTACCGCGACACTGGACATATAGGACGTACGTTGAGCATTGCAGAAGAGCTACGTGCGCGCGCAATATCTTGTCATGGATAGACTTTTCCCAGTCGGTTCCTTGAAATTTATTGGGAAAAGGTCCAGGCCAGGGTGTAAAACGCAAAGTCGCTGCCGGGTACCCATTTACCTCACCTGGGTCGAGTGTGGCGAATGAAGATTAATGCCTTGCTGAAAGGACATTAGTGTCGTAGCGGGAACGAATCACGACCTTTGCATTTCAAATCAAGTGCTTAAACCACTCGACTACAACACTTCTGTTTATGATGTGTTCTTGTTGAGGAAAGTGAACGATGCGACGCTTGATATACTCTAGACCAGCATGTCGGGTTCGCCGCGGCACCCGTGGGTGCTGCAAGGCATCGCTAGCGGTGCCGCGCGAGAGAAATTCATTTATTTTAAAAATACATTCTGGAACTTCGCGAAGACGCCCAAATATATGTCTTGTGTATTTTGATGAGGAAATACCATTTCAAAGAAAACAAAGTGTCTTTTTTGCTCCGTTGCCGATATTTGGGAGCCTTGCTAGCCGAATATACTAATACAAGAAGTGAAAATACTTTTCCATTGGCACATCCGAATTAGGAAAGAGATCGTTATCCGAATTCATTTGAATTGAATATTCTTTAAGAAAACAAATTATAAATTATAAAACGTTTCAAATAGCCTAGAAGGTATTGGGTTAGTTCTGTGAAGAAGAATGGAAGAATTCTTCAATTGAGAAAATGGCTACACATTTTGACCTGAGTTACGTTTTTCGACCATGAAAATTGGCGTTTTGATTTCTTCAAAATAAGCAATTATTTGCAGCAATTTTACAATAAACATGCATTTAAGCAAACAATACAAACACAATTATACATAATGATATAAGAGTAGTTGCTTTTAAAGATTATATACCCCTATGACGAATTTCTTTTTAACAGACGCTAGTCTTTTCTAGAGTTCAAAACCAACTAACAGGCCGAGAGTAGCGGCTTTCAGACATGCGTCTTTCACACAAACATCAGCGAATTAACAAAACAAAAATCCTTTTGAGTATGTATTTGGAGTAAGAAAATTGTTCTATGCGGTTATTAGCATACAATTCAATACAATCTTCAAAGAATAGAAAGAAAGAAAGAGAGGAGGGAACCGCAAAGCTGATAAACACATTCTAATCAAGCTCTCCCTTTCAATAATAGTTGAATATTTAACTATTTTGGAAAAAAGACAATAAACAAAGTGTTGCCATATTTTCATGAATCAAATTTTTTTAATAATCCAAATAGCGCGCTGTAATGAAGAACCGTACTCGTAAGATAGATATTTTGCCAATCAACTTTTTTGGGGGACTATGATTTCGAAGATTCACGAAAGAAAAAGTGAATCTTGTCAACCAACAAATCAAGGCGAGCTATTGTTTTAATAGTCGAGGTTATTCATAACAACTTTAACCGAATTCAACCATTCTCCACTTCAAAATGTCAAATATTGCCAACACGATAAAGTCTGAAAACAAATATATACAGAAAGCATGGAATATACCCCCTTTGCAACATTATCATGAAATCAAAGTATAGAACAAAACAAATATATGCATGTAAAAAGAATTACCGAGTTAACACCATCAAATAGAATTCCAACTTCTAAACAAGGCCCGTCCTCACTTCAGTAATTTGGTAAACCATAGAGAGACCACGAGATATTGAATGAGAGTCATCTAATTCTGATCAACACCTTATAGCAGTCTGTCTCTACTCTCCAACATCTTTAGTCTTAATACTCCCTATTTCTATTGTTGAGAGGGAATCACTATTCGGAAGTTGTTTACGACAAGTTACACATTTTTATGAAAGGGGATGCAATTCAAAGTAACGGGCAGCAGAAAGGCCAGTATCGATTTTACTCAGGACAGGTTGAAAAGACCGGCTTCGATTTATTAGGACCATACCTCATCCCTCTTACAATCTTACTTCTCAGACTTCTCGAACTCTATTCTTGTTTTTATTGTGGTTAGAATGTGCGAACCAAAAATGTCAAGGAAGATATTTTGCAACAATGTCGTTTTATTCAAACATGTTTTGTTTCATACCTAAAACAAAACGTATTTCTCAATCCTGGCATTATTCAATAGAACAATATCAATTTCATATCAAACCTTAAAGTGATATGATGGTTTCATAGATCAAAATGATCTAGTACATTCCGGAGAAATAAAGCCTAGCATTGTTTTCTTTTTATTAGAGATTTTAAAGTTGTTTATAATCACAAAGCCATAATTCATATGCGGTGAAGCGATGAGCGACAAATCTCGCTGCGAATTGAACACCTGACAACCTACCTGCCCATCCAAGCTATCGATCTTTATCGATCCGAGCACATGTTTTGGGGTCCTCGTAAAAACACCGCGAAGAAAGGTAGAACCAAAGGGGGAAAGAAAATCGCGATTATCGATCAACATTGATTCATCGTCTGTTTTCTCAATCTCTGCCCCCAGGCCGTTCTATCTCAAGGAGAATGAGAGAAAGAGAGAGAGAGAGAGAGAGAGAGAGAGAGAGAGAGAGAGAGAGAGAGTGTGTGTGTGTGGGGAGGAGAATCTCTCTCTCTCTTTATACTATCGAGGAAAATGCGAGACAAGGGATGACGTTAGGAAAGGGGTGGTCGTGAGGTGTAATAACACACCTTAACCAGGTATAGGGTCACAAAATCTTTACTAATCCAAGTAGTCCCTAACAGTTTATGCACAACTATTTGACATTCATATAACTTAATAAAAAAAATGGACATCGATAAAAACCTAAGAAAGAGACTGAAAGAAAGAATGATACCCTTGATGAATTATTCTACGGGAGGATCACGTGACATTAATTGTGTTTGTCATTGGTTGCTAATCAAATGAACATTCTTTCTTTTGTTCTTTCTATTCTTTTGACTTAACCTCCTCGTGAGTGCCTAAGGCGTTCCGTGTTATTTTCTTTTATGAGGATGTTTGTTAATGAAATACGTTCGATATTGAACACGTTGAATGTTTCAATTACGTTCGTAACTCGACAAAATGATTATAATCAATCATAATCTACGTACTTTTAATTGTAATGTTAATTTCCATCTTGTACATGTAATTCTGCTGACTGCAGCAAACTCTGTCGTGTGTTTATTTTCGATAATAAACCATTTTTAATTGAATTAAATTGAATTAAATTTGTTATGGAGGATGGTAGGGCAAAAACCGAAAATCCTTATTCTCAAAATATTTTCTAGTATATACACTCTGAGATTATAAGAACCTACAAAACGATGCGATTGAACAAATCATAGTTTCAGGTATGTTTCTGTTTTGAATTGATGAATGAAGTATACCATGCATCAACAATCTCACAGATACAAAAATAATTTTGAAAAACTTTCGGCACCCTTGGAATATACGAAATAAGTAATTTGAACAATTTTCAACAATTTGAACAATAGTAATGCAATTAAAAGAAGGGGTATAAGCCACAACATTACTGATTGTGAAATATGAGGTGATAAAGAGCCAAATCTTTCAAGCGGTATGATTACTTTGAATAAGTAAATTTACAATTTAAAATGAATCTGAAAAGTAGTTCAGAGAATGAACAAATGAAAGCATATTTTACATAGAGAATTTATAGGTATCTGTGGTCCATGGCGGCCAAAATGAAATGCAGCTAATTTATAATTGTTTTAAGTTATTCGCAAAGTAAATCCCAGTCCGAACCATAGTTTGTTCTTCAGACGATTTGAACATAAAATCATGCTCGCATTGAGGCGGGGAGTTCTTGGAAAAGTTATGAAATTACCAGTTTTTGGACAATCGAGATGATCTAGATTTTATCTTAGATAGTAAAGCGTGAAAGCTTTTCCTCGGTAGCTTCGCTCGCTCCCAAAATTTACTCACTGGAAATTCGATATCTGGGCATGCCCTCAGGCGAAAATGTGTTCGTTATGCCGAGAACTCTACTTTTTCCAAGGCCATGACATTTGTTTAATTTTAAATCCTAACTAAGGTTCCACTATCAAACGGCCAAAACAATAACCATCACAAGCTTACATAAAAATAGAAGAGTTTGAAAGGATGGATTGAAAGGATGGTTTGAAGGGAAACGTGTTAGCGGGAAAATAAGGCCTGAAGCAATAATCGAATGTCTTGTTTGTCCTACAGACTGACGCGGACTAGTGAGGAGCTGATCTTGCCTGGGTGACGGGGTCTCTTGTCATCTACTCATCGATTGTCTACCAATAAGGGCAGACATACAGCTTACCCACATCAAACTTTTTTTTAAATAACTTTAAAATAATCAAATATATTATTTTCTATTAAATTGAGATCCCTTTCTTACTTTTTTGGCCATGTTTGTATAATTTTCTTTTAATTCATTTATTTTAAATTTGGTTATTTTCAATTTAGAAATACAAAAGACGTAGTTTAGTTATTGTATATTATGGTGACATAAAATTAACTTTACATGGTGGACGTGAAAGTAGAACTTTAGATTAGATAAATGAAATGAACTAAGAACAACACCAAATTAAACCTCACTGTCAAGATACCTTCAAACCTAAAGTTAGAACTATGATAATGCCATTCACGTGTTCAAAAATTAAGTTAATAACAAAATACAGTTTAAAAGAAGAAAAAAAAAAGAATTAGTGGTTGGTATCGTTGGTTTCTTAGCTCAGGTTATTCGTAGCTGTGCAAAATCATGAATAAATATAATGTTAACGAGAGAGGTAATGAACTTCGCTTATAAGAGTTTGAATAACAAGTGATGAGCTTCCATTATCACAGTAAATGGAGAAATTACAATTTCTGATTTATTTTTTACCAAAGGGTTTTATGTGTTAATAAAATAATAAAGAAATGGGTTTTTAGTTTGTTATGATATAATAAAGAAAGGTGATTTTTAAAGGCAAAATGAAGGAAAGCAAGCTTCAGACAACGAGATAAAGAAAGAAGCTGCCCCAGCGATGAACGATCGATTGATTGATTTCAGCTAGGTCTTGAAAACTGGTGGTAAACACTTTGATGAACAAAGCGAAACATGTCTTCCCCTTTAGTATTTCGATCTACGAATGGTGGCTGGTTTATCCTGCTACACGGTATTACATGCATCATTGATGAGAAAAATCATGGGAATTAAGTCGAGAACCACCAGCCTTATATCGACATGCTAGTCTGTCTGACAAGCTAAACATGACTGGGAAGTGAGGGATCCGAGACTTGGAGGGGGAGGGGGGAAAGGGAAAGAAAAATGATGGGGGACCTTCGGGAAAAAATGTGCTTAGAGTTGTACAAACAAAAGAAGAAACTACCAAATTAATTTAGAAACATAATGTTGAAAAGTACATCATGAAAAACAAATATTATAAAAAGGGATATAGATATCTAAAGTCATCAAATCATTCGATTTTTTACCTGATACTGTTATAAATGATCTTGAATAATATTTGCATTTACTTCCAAGCAGCAGAATTCAAACATCATCTGTAAAATTTCCGTTTATAACTTTGAAATAATTATCAAATAGTACTATATGAAAAATAGAAATCAAACCTAGAGGGAAAAATGATTCTATACAAATTAAATATGAATAATGGTTTCTTACCCCTGCGTTGAAAGCTAAAATTGGAACCTCTCACGGCCACTATACAGTATTGTCGGTAATATTTATATTTTGAGAGAGCGCCAAGTTGTACACCCCCAACTTACGCCTTTTCTCACTTAAAATGAAGTGACCTAATGATGTGTTCGTGCTCTGATTGAAATATAGTCTCAGTTGGATAGAAATGGGGTGTGTAAGAGAGAGAGAGAGAGAGAGAGAGAGAGAGAGAGAGAAAGAGAGAGAGGGAGAGAGGGAGGGAGGGAGAGAGGGAGAGAGGAGATAAGCTTCCATCAATCGGATTATATGAATGAAAAAGGCACCGATTATACGATTTCTCTCTCATTTTCATTTAGACTTGTTCACTTCAGCACCGGTCAAACTGATGAAGGGCTTAACGACTACCACCAACTAATTGTACTTCTGTTAGACACGGCTATGGATGCATACAAGCAACAGGAACATACCCATCTTAAAATAACCAAAGAAAAGTGGGTTTTCAATATAGGGCTTCAAAAAAGATAAATTCAAAAGCTGATAGAAAAGGGGAAACTAAAAGGACGCGTTACCGTGTCTCACTTTTGTTATTTTAAGTCCTCTTAACAATTTAATACTATAAGCAGATAACTTAGAGAGACTTTGCACTGGGGGTACATCTGTTTGCAGTCGTGTATTGTTTGGTGGTAATAACTGTTAGGGATCAACCGAGGGATACATCTCATACTTCTCGGAGGGGATCAAAGACAGAACAAAAGATTCCAAGTAGCAGATTCTCTAGGATGCTTGGATCAAAGATTTAATTCTATAACGGGTTACCGTTTGTCCAATATTACGTTTTTATCAATCCATAGCATGGACCATGCTTAATTTACAGATTTGTTTTAATCATTGAATGAGGCTACCAAAAGGGTGTCATTTTCCCCTTTCATCTGGCAATTGTAAGGCACATAATTAAACTTATACATAATAATTGAATAGACACTGTTAACCCATTAATTATTTCAGCAAGATCACCTTGAGATACACTTGATACATACGAAGTACATTATTATGTACATTAGAGTGCTATGTGAGACTACGTTTATTGCACTCATTTAAAATTTTGTAACAATCTACTCTCAATTTTCAATCAAAAAATAAATATGATTATCAAATCGTCCACCCAGTAGCAAAAATAGGTGTCATTCACTATGAAAATTTGATTCATTAACTTATTTGTATATTTTGTTTAATAACTAAACTATTCAATAAGATTGATATGTGTTGATGCATATGAAACGCGCAATCTAGATTCAAGTTCAATGTTGGGATATCATGTTACCAAAGGACAATTTAAGACCATTTTGAATTCCTTATAAGACGATACTGCATTCATTAACAGAAAATCACATCAATTGTATCCGGGATCGAAACTGTCCATTTGTAAGGTTTCAGCTAATGTTCAGCTGATTTAAGATTCAGAATGAATTCGCAGTTTACGTACTATTGTAATAAAGAGATCATGTATTAACTTTACAAACTATCTTCAAACAGTTATTTCCCCCACACAACTATTAAGACTGCTCTTCCGGGGGCAATGCAATTATTATTACCACAGCCATTACCAAATACTTATTTACACATGGCTGGAGAGTGACAAATATGGATTAAATGCCGTGACATTTGTGCTAGGCTGAGATTCAAACCCTCAACACTTGGATTGAAACTTGAGTGAACGAACCACGTACTACACCACCAGGGGCGGCGATCCCGGGGGGGGGGGGGGGGACGGGGGACACGTCCCCCCTCAATTTTTTTAGGGGGGATCGTCCCCCCTGGAAATTTGAAAAAGTGCAAAACAAATTGTATAGCATATACTGAATAATGACTGCAACACACTTTTAGGCTCTGGAAGGCCCAAGAGTGCAGCGTTTAGACTAATAAAATTGCAAAAAAAATCTCGCTCGGTCGCTACGCTCCCTCGCATAACATCCTCGTAAAAAAAAATCCGGTCATTAACAGAAATCGCCGCCCCTGTACACCACGATGACTCCACATAACATCGGCAAACAACTAACATTGGAATGGACTTTCTCTTTGAGATTAGGACAATAGAGGGAGAGGGATTTGGAGAAAAAGAAACAAAGAATGATAGAGTTACAATATAATTAAATAGTAATACTTTTTTTTAAAGGTAGAAAATAATAGACTAAAAAGAAATATACCTTGGAAAGTTCCTACATGAGCCGGTACACCCATATGCTTAGCGAGGTCCGAAGAGAGCCACACCTTTAATTCTTCTCCTTTGAGAACTCGTCTAGTTGTCTTGAAGACTATCATACCATCAGATGCACGTTCAGCTGATAGATTCTGCTCGTGATCATTCCGAGCACCTGCTATATGCCACGCCCAGCTACTCGAATCACTCTCACGTGCACTTACTACACGTCCAAACGAAACTTTCACCTATGCAGGGAGAGAGAAAAAAGGAGATCACTTTATTTCAAACTGAAAACTTATCTTCAGATTTAACACAACGTGTGAAATCAATCATGATATAACCTTTAACTAAAAGGGCTTAATCGAGTAAAAAAATCGGAAAGAATGCAGAGCTTAATGGTTCGATTCATATTATCTTTATATAAGTTAAGGTACAAAACTTTTTCAAGAAGTTATGTTATCATGAGAATATATTGAATGAGTTGGAGAGAAGAATATTAGCATGTACATGTGGAAAATTCTGAAAAGGGAACAGACAAAAAACATTCATGGACAAGTACAAATGGGCGAGGAGAGGAAAAAAGTGAGAAAGGGTAAAACAGAGTGATGAGAGAAAGATAGTTAATTAGAGAGAGGGGATGACATAGAGAGAAAGAGAGAGTGTGTGAGATAGAGAGAGAAAGGGGGTGACATATAGAGAAAGAGAGAGAGAGCCATTGGTGGGAGGGGCGGCGCAGGGGGAGCAAGACAGGTAGAATATGGACAATACAGTCAACTTACAATGATATATTTTAAAAATGCTTTTTTCCCAGCTCAAAAGAAGTGCTCTTGAGCAAAAGAGAATGTGAAAGAAGAAAGAAATAGCATGTATACATAATAAACTACATGATATTTGACAACTATCGACTCTCATTATTCATTTTGATCCGCTTAACAGTGACGTCATTAAGAATACAGATTCTCAAACTCGGAATCACATCTTCCTATTATGCACACACACCCACAGGACGTTAAAAACCTTGAGAAAGCTCATCATTAAAGCTGTCAAAATATTTGAGGATGAGGTCTGTTGTTGGTGCAACAAGACCACGAGCCGGGATTTTATTCTTCTCTTTATGAAAAGATGGTGAGATAATGACGGCTTAAGGATACCATACACGGTTGACAATCCGCTTAGCAGTCAGTTGAAAATAATAAACCCGCTCAATCCAACATAGGGAAACAGAACAACCAAAAAAGAGAAATCGAAATCAGATTTATCACTCTCTTGTGCTTATTAGATAAAGAAGGAGAAACGGAAGATTTAATCTTCTTTGGGTTTTGTCTCTTTCTGAAATTTCAAGGAGGATTTTAGGCTGAAATGAAAAGTAAAATGAAGAAGAATCTGAGCCGGTTATTGTCAGTGTTTCCTTTGTTATATAATCTGGAATATCTTCAGCTTTTCATGTCCTACTTTGACCAGTCTTTATGAAGCAGTGAGGTGTATAACATGACGTGTTTAGATGGTAACATGTGTGTTTAGCTGGTAACATTATAATGCGTATCAATCAAGAATAAAATCAGCTAAATCAAATGTGAAAAGGTGATTGAATTTTCAGTATTGAAATCAAAGTAGATCTGTACACATTAGGAGCTGTAGTAGCAAATGTAGTAGTAGTAGTAGTAGTAGTAATAGTAGTAGTAGTAGTAGTAGTAGTAGTAGTAACAGTAATAGAAGTAGTATTAGAAGAAGTAGTAGTAGTAGTAGTAGTAGTAGTAGTATAAGTAGTAATAGTAGTAGCAGCAGCAGTAGTACTACTACTAGTAGTAGTAGAAGTAGTAGTAGTAGTAGTAGTAGTAGTAGTAGTAGTAGTAGTAGTAGTAGCTGTAGTAGTAGTAGTAGTAGTAGTAGTAGTAGTAGTAGTAGTAGTAGTAGTAGTAGTAGTAGTGTAGTAGTAGTAGTAGTAGTAGTAGTAGTATTAGTAGTAGTAGTAGTAGTGGTAGTAGCTTTAGTAGTAGTAGTAGTAGTAGTAGTAGTAGTAGTAGTAGTAGTAGTAGTAGTAGTAGTAGTAGTAGTAGTTCTAGTAGTATTGGTATAGTAGTAGTAGTAGTAGTAATAGCAGCGGTAGTAGTAGTCATATAAGTAGTAATTGTAACAGTAGCCGTATCAGTAACTTAGGTTGGGCATTAAGGTTGCATATTTAAACAACATATAGTTTATATTTTGTTATAGATATTTCTTTTACTTCTTCTCGTATTCAGCAACCAGATGCCGCTACCAATGTTATTAAGTGAACACGCTGTGGTTCGCTAATCGGAAAGTATGAACACACCGTTTTTACAACACCATTAAAGAGGCGAGCATGTATGGCAAAGCATCTCTTTCATTGAAAGGAAAGGAGTTGAATAGTTTACAGATTAATGCTTGGTGTTGTATTGCCAGGTATTAAGTAAGATTGGGTTTGGGGCATTAAACTCCTTAACAATTAGTTAGACGAAGACATGTTGGACCAGTAAGCTTTCTGAATGATGTTAACCCTCAACACTACAGGTGATATACAACAAACAATGAAGGGAAAGGACTGTGAGAAAGAGAAGAGTGGTTCTTAAGAAGAAAAGAAAAGAGAGGCTGAAGGGAGAGATGGGGAATAGAAGAGAAGAGAGCAAAGGAGTACGAAGGAGGAGGAGAGAGAAGAGATAGAGAAGAGAGAGAGAGAAGAGAGAGAGAGAAGAGAGAGAGAGAGAGAGAGAGAGAGAGAGAAAGAAGAGAGAGAGAGAGAGTGAGAGAGAAGATGAAGGAGAAGAAAGGGAAGAGCGAGAGTGGTGTGCGTGAATGAGCAAGAGGAGGAAGGGGAAGATAAAATGAGAGCTAGGGGTGAGATACAGTTGAGAGGGGCGAAGGGACTAGGGCTGGGAAGGAGACGGAGTCTGTAGGTCTATTCTTCCCTTTCATAATTATCCTGTTAAATGATTACATTTTGTATTTCTGTGAATTTAAAGTGAAAGGTATTAAGAAGACAAAATAAATGGTGTACGTCGATATGTAAAATGAAAATGAGAGCGTAGTAACGATGAAGGAGGGAGGGGAAGAGAACGATCCGTATATTTTAGTATCCCCAAAACTTGTCAGATGGCGAACCATGACGCATGCAGAACTGCAGAAGCGCGGTTCTTATGTCGTCTGCTAAGAACGATTGAAGGACAGCCAATCAGAAAAGTTTGCCAAGCAGCAATGAGTATTATCACTAGATGGCGCTCTTACTTATTCTGTTTTTAGCACGTTCATCAAGGCAGCGAGGTAGGGAGAATATTTTTAAATATGAATACGAAGAGCAAATAGAATTGAGCCATTATTGACACTCCTCTGGTTATTCACAAGTTTACCCATGGGAAGGGGAATGGTACATCCAACCTGTCATCTTGATCGCCACTATAGAGACCGAACGAGTAAGAAGCAGAAAGACAGGGAAGGTAGAGGTAGAAGGAGAGAGATAGAGAGAGAGAGAGGGGGGGGGGGGCAAGATTAGGAGGGGCGAAAGAAGGGTGTGTGGGGGGGGGGGGATGAGACAGATGTCCAGTTAATAATTATGTCGAACATGCAATATATTTACACCATCACTAGGCCCATTTACACAATTTAAAAAATGTTTTAAATAAAACGTTTAACTTTATCCTTTAAAGATATTAACAGTAACTCCTTTTACCCAGATGCTCAACAGGGCATTGGAGTATGGATATTAAAAATGTTGGTATTGATAAGTCCTAGTCAGAAATATGTCCGCTTTCCAAATTTGAGGCTGAGCCTACTGATTTGATTTTAGCGACTCACACGGTGTATATTATAGTTGAAGGTCCATTTTACTGTCGAATGTGACAAACAATTCTATAGTTAAATAAATAATGTGCAATCATCCAAAACATTGACTAGTGGCTGACTAGTAGGAAAAAAAAGAATGGATGAAAATGAGAGGGAAAGATGAAACAAAGACTGACTTTCTATGATAAGAATCCTAGCATCAATCAAGTTCTTGAAGATGAAAGTCTAATCTCAATTTAAAATCGAAAATTTACTAGTCTTGGGAGGCATGTACTCGCAAAGACCAAGCTATTGTTTTTACTTTCCAATCACTGCAAGATTAGAATATGTTAAGATTCACGACATATCCTGAAAATCGCATGCGAGTAATCAGCCTAGTGACTTGACTTACTCTCACTGTTTAATACAATCTTTACCATTTATAATGGATTATTAGTAGAGGTGTTGTAGTAGAGTGGTTTAAAGTCATGTCAGGATATGTGATGAAGTGAGCTCAATCCCCGACATTGCACTTATATCCTCAATCAATGCATTTGATTTACATTCCTTCCCCTCCTCCTTGTATGCTGTAAAAGTAATTTTATTCTGCATTAGCACGAATGTTTGTATAATGGCACTTAGGTAGAATGCTCCCGGGGGAGTGGAGAATGTGCAGATGATTGTTTTACTACTGAGCCAGTGCACCTCATGTGCAGGTGTAAGGATATCAGGGTAATACTAACGCTTAGGGACATGGTATAACTATTAAGCGCTATATAAATCCAGACTTTCTAATACGACAATATAGAAGCAGATAACGGAGTTGAAATCCATGTTGAGCACGTGTGAACTTGCCAGATTGAGTAAACGTTGCATGGAAGAACAAACAGACAAAATCAATGGGTATTGATTGGCTCTCACGCCTCTATATCATAATAGAAAGTGAAATAGAATCACAAGGCGCTGCTGTATAAAATTGGACCAGTTGCGCAAAGACTGTACAAGCTTTTTTGTTCTTTTTCAAAGCTGTTTTTGTTTAATATCCTCTTCTGTTGTTATACTGGTACCGGTCATGATATTACCAGTCGATATTTGTCCTCAGCAACAGGCGCGAAACGATTTTATACAACACGTGATCGGTGTGAAAAAAGATGGGTCATTGATGGCTGGGCTACGTGTTAATGCGTAGTAATAAGCAATTTAAATTGCCATGTGCATTAATTATAACACAATAAGACCAGATTTACTTACCCAAATATGCATTTACTTAATTATCTTATTTGTAACATAATATTTGAAAGCAAATATTACAAATTGAAATAAAAGATAGTTGTATTAGTTTATTTTGTATTTACAAGATTGGTTAATTTATTGATGCATGGTAATTAAAGTTAAAAGAGAAGCAAATTTAGCAACGATTTTTGTCGTCATTTAATGGCAGACATAATGACAATAAAGTATAAGGTTTCGTTTTAAAGCCAAACTCCGGAAATACACATCTGCTAGTTAAAGAGTAAATTCCAAAAAGAGCGAAATCGCACGGTATTCTACATTTATGGATTGAGATTTTTAAATTCTGCTGAAAAAAAACTCGTCATATTAGCTTAAAACAGAAGATTACGCATGCCTTATGGATAATACACATGGTAATAAAAATGAAACGAAATGTGATATTGTAAACACACATTGTGGAAGTTACATCACATCCATAAACAAAATAATCAAAATAACCCCTCTTGATTGTCAGAGGAATTATAAAAGAAGAAAAAAAATCCGCTTCTGGCAATATTAGAAGAATAACTTCTAAGAAGAAGAAGAAGAAGAAGAAGAAGAAGAAGAAGAAGAAGGAGGGAAAAAAAAGAAAAAAAAAGAGAAGAAAATGAAAAAGAAAAAGAAGAAGAAGAAGGAAAAGAAAAAAGAAAAAGAAAAAGTGGAAGAAAGAAGAGGAAGAAGACGAAACAGAGGGGGAAGAAAAGAAGGTGAAGAGAGAGGAGTAAGTAGAAGGTAGAAGCGTGCAGAAGAAGACTTGTCAAAGCCAGACGAAGAAGAAAACGAAAAGGGAAGAAGGAGGAGGAAGAGAAACACGAAGAGAAGAAGAAAAAGAGAAGCAAGAAAAGGAAGAACAAGAAGAAGAGAAACCTCCATGTCCTTCTGTTCCTACCATAGCTATATATATATATAGGCTAACAAGGCATCGTATTCGAAATTACCAATACTCAGAAAACTCTACCTAATATTCAAGCAGCTATTTTGTCTATTTGTAATATCTATTGCTCTGACGAAACTGTACATTGCCATTTTAATGAAGAGTTAAAAGAGTTAATACTTGGGCAAGAAAAGGCAGTCCATTAATGCCATCGCCAGTGAAATTGTTTCTATCACAATCTTCACCGAAGAAATAACTATAATTAAAAAAAAAAAAAACACTTATAACGTTCAATTAGAAGAAAAAGGCATCGTGATTATAATATGCGACAAATAAAAGAACAAAATAATGTTTAATGAGAGAGAGAGAAGAAAGAAGAGAGAACCATATTTAAGATGGGTGGCAATATAGAAGACAATCACCGATGCAAATTCGAAGGACGTTCCATTATAGCAAGAATAAAAATGATAACAAAAACAATGATTTTTTTAAAGATAATATTACCTTAAAATGACATGTGTTAATAACCGGTGGCGTAAAACGTACTGTAAACAGAATTTCATAAAATAAAAGAAGTTCCTTTTCTTTTTTATAAAGGCGTATGTACGACCATTCACACCAAACATTGATAGTTGTTTTGATAGCAGTGAATGTAAACAAGTCACCTAACAAAGTTTGTCATATGTAATACATTTCATTTCAAGCTGTGTGATTTTAAGAAATTCTTCCTGAACGAGAATTCGAAGAATCCACTTATGATATGGACAAAAGCAAAATGTAGCATAAATTATATAAATCAACAGAAATCAACAGAAATAAATAGATACAAGTCACCTCATATTGAATGTTTACCAACCTGACATGCTATCGAAAGAAATCTTAATTAAATTCCCTGTTCTTTGATTGTTGCTTTAATTTTTAAGAGTAAAACTCTTTAAGCTCCTCCGTTCTTGCGCAAAATAAAACTATAAAGTAGCTTTTAATATAAAAAGTTTAATCTATAATTCTAAAGCATAGGCGTAAAGGCAGGGCTTTCATCTGGGGTGACATTATCTCGCCTAAGCATCAGCTTTATTTTCAACTTTTAGAGTGAGCGAACATAAAAATAACACATTTGCAATAGAAATGCAATATTGCCATTAAAATAAAAAAAAAGTTAACAAATAGACCACCTGTCCGTACAAATATAAAGTAATGGTTGTCCGGACATGAATTTACTATTACTATTATAGTGAGGAATGCTGAAGAAATGAAACTGTTTATATGATTAATTTTTAATTCATCTTCAGACAAGTGAAACGGGTAGCAATAATAAAATCAAAATAGATAAGAAATGTTCTGACCTCGATCATAGTTGGATTGGATGAATCTTCCGTTATCCTATCTCCAAAGCTGAGCACGCTATCATCATAGGGCCCGAGTACAATATCGGCTGGAATCTCGGATGAAGTCCAAACTCGAGAGGATGCGGGTTGGTGGTGATGAGGAGCTGAGTCTAGGGATGGGCGGAACCCGACGACATGCCTACCGGTGGTAGGGTTGGTGGTAACACGGTGTCCGGGTGTAGATAACATTTCTCCTTGCATGGTGGAGTGCAAATGCACTAGCAGGGACATCTACTGGTCCCAATGCAAGCGAACGGTAACGTGAAATACTGAGAGTAATCATAACGGGTTCCAACTTTATCACGAGCTCTAAACACCCAACCGACTAGGATGAGAAACGGTGAGAAAATAATCACTGGTAACAGCTGCACTATATAGATGAAGTCAACAAAGAACAGTTTGGAGCACTAGCACAGCTCTGCCATGACTGGTTTCTTCTATTTCTTTCTTTCCTTTTTTTCTCTCCATAATTCAATAACTGGGTAGTTTTCGCAATTTAAGCGAGCGGACGGACAAGCGGTGAAGCGCACACACGTTCGCCTGTCTACTTGTAACACACACTGCGCGCTAAGCGAACAGCACACTTGTTGCGCATGTGCTTGAGACACACGCACCAATGATCATTCGGTAAACTTTACAGCGCCCATGCGCAGTGAAGACTAAGATGGCTTCTTGACGATTTGTTCTACTTTAGCTGGTAGCAATTGAAAGAAGTCGCCTGTCTCACAATTACTGATATCCACCTCGCCATGGTTTGCGGTTTGGTTTTCTTTCTAGACTTCGTTTGATTCACTCTATGAATATGCAGTGAATTCTAAGCCGTTGGCTGCGTTAAGTTAACACTACCACATCCTTCCATTTTCCCACCGCCTCGTTTGAATCTAATTCTGATTTGGAGATACTTAAATGCCAATTTGAAATTAATTAAACAAATCAAGTGTGAATTACTGATTTTAAATGCCATGGGCATTGTATAGGCTAAAGAACTGATCGTTTGAACTGGCAATCTTCTCTTGCATAAGGCATATGCATAGACCATATGCTCGGTCATCATGCGAAGTATATCTCAAAAGTATTGCAATTTTAGAATGGATTACCAGGATTTCAATGTCTGATAAACGAATAAACACACATCTTTCCGTTATGAAAATACACGTACATTAATTAAAGAAGATAACAATCTTATATTTGCGATTATAAATTGACATGATGTTAGAGAACATGATTTGAATTCAATGATCATTATGTTTAACTCATGTTCCTTTTTGGTATAATTATGATAGTCATGTTAAATGGGGCATATGATAACTTTTACCTGCATATACACATTAACAATTTCATGAACATAATCGTTCAAGGGAGAAACATGACGTATACCTATACTACATTAGACAAAATGAAAGCAATATCCAATATTGCAACACTAAACTGGAATGGCTGCTCGGTAAAAAAAAACCTAAATTTAATCGAGAGTCAAAATATTTAAATAATACATCATGATTACTTTTTCTTTCGTATAAAGGAAAATCAGCCAAAATATTTTGCTTTGATTTTGTATCGTCATTACTGTAATAAACATGTACAAATATTACAAGAACAATCGATATTTTAATCTGGTTCGGAGTAACTTGTCGTATCTATATTTACGAATTAAAATGAATTATACATCCGGATGATGAGAAGCTTACTGTGTAAGATGCCTCTCCTAAGGACAGGACAAGATTTAAAAATGTTGATTATATTGTTCGTTAATTCAATAGTCTGTCGATTTCTCTTCCATAACTTAGGTTCATTTATTCATTATTTCCTTGACAAAGAAATATGTTTGCTTTTCTAGGGAAAATGTAATATTTGGCTCTAGATGAATCGCTCGTTTGATTCATTGACTTTACATACGTCTCGTATACAAACAACATCTTTTTTGTTTGTTTACATATGGATTTATAATGGAATTGACACTATGTAAAGTCATAGTCTGTAGGGATACATAAATATTATGGGAGGTGTTTACATGTTTATATTTCTCTGCACAATAAATTCCCGTAACCATTTTGTTTTTGTTTTTGTTTTCTCACTGGTATTATGTCACTCATTGGAATGTATAATCCATAGTTTCCCATTATCATATTCATGTTTCGATTAATTTGTCTCGTATTCCCATTGTGATATCATTGTGGCTATATTTTCAGACATATCAGTCTTTGGCATAATAGCCTTCTCTAAGCAATCAGTTTGTCATAATTTACAACATGTTGTGTTCTGTGTCAAAACGAGCCAACTCGGCAACCAAGAAACCATCATGCAGGCAGGCTTACGCTTCCCCGTACGTAGAGAAGCAAACACCGATAATCTCTCAGCAAATTTGAGTTGGCCAACCCACTTCGTACTCACCTGGGAATAGAACCTGAGCTTTTGCAAATTTTCTCATTTTAATTGGAGACGTTATCAGAAGAGAAAGCGAGCTCCAGAATCTAGGGAGAAAATAGAAAGCAATAATCATAGTAATAAATAGATGCAAGCGTTTCCTCTTTTGTAGTGAGTTTCCTGGTGAAAAGAATAGGTTAGTGATAAGTGTTACAGAGTAAAGTTCATATTCCGTTCTACAAGCATCTGGGGGCTGTATTAATGGAGATTGTACTATTAAGAGTGTACTGTATCAATGACTTCCATTTGCCTATTTAAACGTCATTATCCCGAACAGCTTGCACGCCGTCCGTCCGTAGTACAGTACTAACTAAGGTTTATACACAAAGTTGTGTTTGATTTCAATTTCCCATCTATTCTACTCTCATAACATAGCATATATTGTCTTGCTTACTCACTTATTCGCCACATATGTCACCTTTTTCATATCATACAAACTTCCAAAAGCCTTCTCTGTTATTGCATTTAAATGACTTTGATTTGAAACAAGAGTTTGAATACTCCGTTGGGACCCTTAAGGTTCAAGTTTTTAAACGTTCCCAGACTGTGGAAACTGCCACTGCATGATTGTGTGTACATTCTTGGTCAGTGATTTCCTACCTGCTATATTAGTAATCACATATCTAACTTGAAATAAGAGTGAATGAGAGAGAGAGAGAGAGAGAGAGCGTGTGTGTGTGTGTGTGAGAGAGAGAGAGAGAGAGAGAGAGAGAGAGACACACACACACACACTCACACGCACACACACACACACACACACACACACAGACAGAGACAGGCAGAGACAGAGACAGAGATAGAGAGGAAAAATGAGATAGAGACGGACAGAAAGGACGGGTGTGCAGGTGTGTGAGAGAGGAAAAAAATCATCAAATATCATCTTGGATTAATCGATTTAAGATAACAAGAAAGATTCATTTACAATACTTTTATTGCTAAGCCTATTTGTATTGTATTTGTCCAAACGACTTTTTCATCTTATCTGGGTCAGACACAATGTCAACATAATTATTAACTGCTCATGAGAACTTAACAAATCGTCGCAAAGTCTGTATACAAATACAAACAAGTGATGCTCCTTACACTAAGAAAATTATTTAAATTTTTTTTCGAGTTTAGGGCTTTTTTCGAGTAATAAGTTTTTTTTTCTTTTTAAAACTATGAAACATTATTGTCATGCGTCAACTTTGAATCAAAGTACGAAACTGTTAATCTCTCATTTTCTTTCACATTATATATATTATATTCGTGTTTTATTATTATTTTCATACTTTGAGTAAATATGAATTTGACTTTGGTGTTAATGAAAGCTGACAAAACGAAAATAGATCTGATCATTATTGCCACATCAGTGATATCAGAAAGAATAACGAACTGATGAAGAAAAGTATGCATAGAAAACAAGGACTTTGAATTATGCGCTAATTATGATACAAGCTAAGAGACAGAGAGGGTGGAAGAATGAGAGAGAGAGAGAGAGAGAGAGAGAGATAGAGTAAGGGGAGGGGGAGAAGGAGGCAGAGAAAGTAAAATAGGTGAATGGAAAACTTTTTTCAGCCTGTGGTATCCATTTCCCATGACAAAAAGAGCCTACACAGAAGTCAGTCGTGAAGCATAGTTTATACCCTAAACACTGCGTATCACTCTCTCGTATACAGTTACTTGCGAGAGGGCTCTGTGTTCCCCCCACGGTTTAACAAGTGGGAAGTCACCGCATCATTTGTAGTTTTCATCGCTTCAAGAAAGAGAAGGAGAGAGGAAAGACGGAGAAAGAGAGAGAGTAATATGAAGCTAGAGGGAGAGGAGATGAGTCGGTTAATAATCCAGACTCCAGTCAATAGGGTTAACAAATGCAACTACCTCCTTACAAAAACAGGCACAAGCAGACGTCGATCTACCCGGAGCGCATGCGCACGACCATCGTCATAACTCATGTATAGACTGTTTAATACAAAGAATGAATGTTATTGGTTTAGTTAAGAAAGCCAAGAGATAGATAGCAGAGGGAGAGAGAAAGAAAAAGACTGAGCTAAAGGAAAGAAAAAGAGAGAGAGAGAGATAGAGAGAGAGAGAGAGAGAGAGAGAAAGGGAGGGGAAAAGAGAGTTAGAGACGGAGAGATGAGAAGGAGCAAGCGGTGTAAAGACTAATGGAGCAGGGATTTGGTTAACCGTAGGGTAGCGGTGGTCGATTAAAATACTCTGGTTCTCCTCCATTACTTAGCGCGCAGTGCGTGTGTCAGTGCTACTAGGCAGGGATGCCAGCCTAACATGACCCCATTTAATTGCCTTGGGACCCGACATCTCCTCTCAAACATCTCCTCTCTCACACATCATTTTCTTTCTCTTTATAAGGTGCGTCCCAGAAAGAAAGAAAGAAAGAAGAAAGAAAATAAAGCGTTAAATATTACTCGAGTTATTTTGAATATGAGATGCATTTAAATGTTTGTTTGTTCGCCACAGAGTAGAGGTAAATATGATTTCAAAATGGAATGATAGCTCGGTTTTATTTATCCATCCATGTCCTATTGAGCAAGTCGAACCCTCACCTTGTTGACTCACCTTGTTGGTATAGTATACATCATCGGAAAGGTAATTAGAATCGTCGATCACATTTACTTTCTTGAAGAGAAAAAACAAAACTCACCACATGGTAAGAAGCTTTTACACATTTTAATTTTTTCTTTCTTTGTCAATTTTGGTACGTCGCACATTTTGCCAGCAAAATGTCAAAAATTCTGTTATTCTATCTGTAATATTAGTTTATCAAAATAAAAAGAAATTACATAAATAGACTGACAAGATTTGAAATCATATTTCATCTTTTTGAGGGAGCAAATAGATCGAGCTAATATTTTAACAATATTTTTCTCGATACCATTATACAATAATGGTATGATTTTCTCGGTTGATTAAATCTCCCGTCAAATTGTGATTATCATGACTGTGTATGAGAACAAATTTATAGAGTTTCAAAAATCAAAAGTCTCTGATTTATTTCAGAAATATTTAACAAAACTAATGGCAAGAAATGATGATAAAGACACAAGCCATAATATCACCCCTAAAACAAATGT